GAGACGATGTAGCTGGTGACGGCAATACCGACTGCTAGTGGCAACAACGACTTCTCTCTCTCTCTCTCGGGTCACACGCATACACACACTTGCATACCGCACTTGGTGTTCACATTCACGTACGTCTCGTACACACGAGCTGTAGATGTTCTCCGAATTGCGGCCACTCCAAGTCACCCCTTGCCGCCCTCGTTGCGGGACCACGACGAACCCCGAATTGATTGTAGCCTGTTTACCCTCGAACGTTCGCGTACAATGCTCTTTCTTTCTCTCTCTCTCTCTCTCGATCCTCCGCGCTTCGTCGATTGCCCCCTGTCTCTGGAAATTGGCCTGAGCTATGTTCGCAGGACCGATTCGAATTTCGTTCGCGACAATTCTATCGCGACTCGGAATCGTATTTCGAGTTTTGCGACGCGTGACTAAAATATTTTAAATCTAATTGCGTATTTTAATGAGAGAAGTACGAGGGAGAAAGATGAGCGAGGGCAAGAGAGCTCGAGTTGTATTAGATTTATCACAACGCGCGGACAACTATTACGTCGTGTTAAAGCACGAATCAAAACCGGAAACCGCATCGCGATTGGCAATTGTATTCTTCATCTCGCGGTGCAACAACCATCAACACAATGTATGTACATCCGATATATCATCGTCATTCGTGACCCGTTCGTCCCGATAATCCGTTTAACAGCGATTTGAGTTATTCGAGTTGACCATTTTACGCGACATCGAGATTTTTCTCTGTGTATTTTTTTTTTTTTTTTTTTATTCGGGAACGAAATCACGCGCGTGTGTGCATGTGTAGCTGCGTGCGTGCGTGCCGCATCGCGTTACAGAGTGGTCGACGGGTGCAACGACGTCGAGAGACGCGCGTGGAGCGCATAAAATTTCATCGCGGTCTCTCCCGGCGCGTCCACCGCGGAAAATTAACCGAATGAAAATGGCGAGCCTTCAATATTTATACAAGCAATTTCAAGCGTTGCGGCCGTTTCGCCGACGCGTTTTGCCTCCCTCGGCGCTCGCTCGCGTCTCCCGGAGAAAATCCCGCGTGTCGGGTGTTCGTCACGCGTGACACAGTCACCGTCGCCGCGGAACACGCGATATATCGCGATTTTGCCCTCGCCCCTACCGCGCGATCTAATTGATTTCGCGATTCCGAACGGTCGGAGATATATATTTTCAAATAGATGTTATTCACGCACATATATCGCGGTTACGTATATATATATATATATCGATGATATTACGGACCAACTGCGGGACCCTCGACGAGTCTCCTCTCTCTCTCTCTCATTTCGCTCGCGTATCGAATTTCTGCTGTTATAGCGTTTGACCTATTTGTCAGTTACGTCGCGTACGGACGCGCGCGATAGACGGAACAAAAGACACGGAGCATTATCGATTCTTTTCACGTCGTCGCGCGCGACGAACGTGCGGCGGAAAGAGAGCCGTCGTGGACGTACCGGTTTCGCGGCGCGATAAAAATTAGCCGACACGGGGCAGAAAATTGATTTAATCCAACTTTTGGTGTATGTAACGGGAGACGGAACATACGAAACAACGGGCGGACAATGAGCTTTCCGCTCGTATATACCTTAACTCTCTCTCTCTCTCTCAACATCCCCTCTGGTCCGCGCGCTCTTGCACACAGCGGTCCAGCCGTGTGTACACAGATGCGCGCGCGTACACACGGGTTACATCCGGTATTCTCCGCAAGCCGCGGGATATTGCAATCACGCGGACGTTAGCCGGGCTTTACAGGCCGAGCGAGCGAGCGAGAACCGCCGCCGGTGTGCAGGGGCTTACCAGAAACCAGGGAGTTAGCCGAACACGCCAGTTTATTTGCTCGCGCAGCATAATACCACCAAAGTCCGACGAGCAGCCGTTGGTTTACTCGTTAGCGCAAGTAACGGCTTCCGGTTGGTTGGCAGAGGTTGGCGGCGAGCGTGGCTTTGTTGCCGCAAACTCTCTCCCTCTCCCTTTCATCCCTCTGATAAAATACTAAATGCTGACTCTCCGGTTAAATATTTTCCGCGAGAGGTTCTTATTAAAAATAGAAGTGTCGCTCGCGCGAGATGAGAAATAAGAAGTCGCGCTTCGATGCTTCGTATATATATATATATATGTATACCTATATACAGCCGGATTCGCGGCCCACCTTCTCTCTCGCTCTCTTTCACTCTCTCGCGAAGCAGCTTCGAGTATCGGATTATCGGCAATATCGAGAGCGCCGAGCCGGGGTGGTGAAAGAGCATTCGGTTCACGTCACCGTTTTACAGGCGGGGAATTTTATCGACGGCACTCGGGTGCTTTGCATTTTCATGCCGTGAATGTTGCTGCCTGCTTTTAGACATACGCTATAGTGTTTATTTATATGTATGGGAGAGCATCTCTCGAGAGAGTGCCTGATTCCTTTGAGATGCGCGTGTGCTTGTACTTGTGTGTTTGCGCGACACAACAGCGATGTCGTATGTACGTGTAAACGGGAGGTGGGGATAGCACTTTGCCAGAGTTTCTTGCGGTTTTCGCGATATTACGAGGCCGGGGCATCTGCGTCTTCCGTTTCGGCACGTCACGACTCCTTGTCATGTCTCTTGGAAAGAATGTAGCTGTTCGGGGAAAAGGGAAAAATGGCTCGAAAAAGATTCCGGGATCTCTCTCTCTCTCTCTTCGTCTGTCTGCGAAAAGATATTTTCTACATGTATCACGATTCATCCTAGATTTCGCGTCGTCGCTGAAATCTCCGAGTCGCTCCCGATAGCGCGCGCGAATATAACAACGCGTCCGATGCAAGTGCTATTTTAAAGAAAAAGCCATTCGTGCCGCGAAAGACTCCGGGAGTAGAGTAATCTTCGTTGGTCCAATTTGGCACAACTGGAGAGAAAAATTCATTCTCGGGGCGAGGTTTTCATCTCTCCCCCGTGTGAAATCCAGGCCAACGAGAACACCGCGGCCAAAACTCGGTTTCTCGTTTCTCTACTTCTGCCACTTCGCGCTCTCTCTCTTTCATTGCTGTTTCTCTCGCGACGCGAGAGAGCAGTAGCAGAGCATCCGAGCCATTCATTATTTTCTTGGTTACCTCTCACCCGGGGAAAACTTCTTGGCAACGCAATTACGTTTGCGACGGCTCCACCCCCATTGTCGTCCCTTCCTCCCTGAAGCCGCCACCATTTCTCGCCCACAATGTTTCCCTCTCCCTCTTACCACTCACTCGGAATCTTCTGCTTCTGGTATTGCAGCAAACTGCTGTATAGTATACGTCGAGTAGATAGAACTTTACCACACACGTTACGAAACACCCTCTGCGTGTTATTCTTGCGATCAACACAGGTACGTGTTTGAGTTTCACGATAATGAGCCGTTTTCATTCGCACGTTTCGTTTTGTTATTGTGTTTCATGATATAATACACGCCAATCGTTATAAACGCGTTTAACGCGCATAGATGTGATCAGTGATTTCTGTATACGATAAAGGAGAAAATCTTTAATTTGTAAATTCATACATTTATCGATCCGTCGATTCGATGACAAGTTTTTACATTTTCTCTTTAACATTTTTTTCCATGTTGAAAAATATATCCTTTCAACACATTTCGATGTTCCACAAAGTTACACGTTCTGTGTATCGCGCGTATATTCTACACTATGTAAACCTGGTTTTCGCATACGATATCTCGCTTGACTCATTTTCGCGTACATTATAATTAGCGGCTTAATAACCAGCACTCAGAAGACGACGAGTAATTAAAACGGGTCCTCCTCTTTCCGCGCGCGCTCTCTCTCTCTCTCTTTCTTCGTTCCTCTTTCTCTTTCCGCTCGTTCACCGAGATGTCGAGATGTGCTCGAGGGAGGGAAACTTGCCAAGAATTTCAGTGGCTTGGCGATATTTCAATTAGCATCCGAGGTTCGTTTAAGCGGCGGCGCAAACGCGTTGAAGGAAGCTCGCGTTTAAATCAGCCGCGAGCTCAACCGGCCTTATATATATATATTTTCGGGGCGTTTATGAGTTGCCGGTAGACGGATCGAGGGCACGCAGAACCAGCGGTTCGCTTTCCGATTTCGCGACGAATCGCGGCGGCTTCCGAGCGTGCGAATTCTACGCGGCGGGGAAACGAGCGCCAGAGCCGCCGCTTTGTCGAGGTAATTAAGTGATTTCATTTTCTCGACGAAAGCGTCGAAAATGGTCCGTTCCGTGCGCTGCCTGTTGATTCCGCGATAATTAAATGGAGTTTCGCGCTGCGATGTTGCACCGTGTGAATTATTATGCCGGCCCGGAGTGCATAGATCTGTGCACGATTATCCAATGACGGGTTAGCACTTTGATATAGTATACTTGGAGCAAAAGTCAGAATATAGAGATCGGAACAAAATATTAAGAAGGGAATAAAGGAATTATCTTAATTGTCGAAGTTCATTATTTATTAGGTAACTATATAGTTTAGATATAAATTTAGTGCTGGAAAATTCAAAATTAGTTCAAATTAACGTAAAAAACAACCGGAAAGATTCACCGATACGTCGAAATAAATTAGATTGCAGCGAAATTACAGTACACTTTGAAACACGCGAATGCCTACGCCACTGTGGCAATCTTGCCTGGATTTAATTTAATTCCCGGCAGTCTCTTCCAGCCGGAGGGCGTCGTAAACACCCTCAGTCGGTTATGCCGCACCTGCATCTTTACTCGTTTCCTTCGCGAGGGCGCGTTAAGCTAGCCCTTACCTTTCTTAACGACCCGGAACAAGCCGCCCGGGGGGTGCAGACTATATCGCCGATATAGTGTCGGATCGAACAGCTCTTCGTCGTAACGCTGATGCTCCATGAGGGAAAAAAATGTACATGGAATGTCTGTGACAAAATATATATATATATATCATTTTTCTCTTTCGACTTTCTTCGACTTTTAATAATATATTATGTTATATTATTAAAATTTAGTGGTACGGTTTGGAAATGGTAAATTCTTTCTCACGAATATTTGAAAAATGCAAATTTTCAGACGGAGATCGCGAAAAGGTTGAACGCCATCATCGCGCAGATCCTGCCGTTTCTCTCGCAGGAGCATCAGCAGCAAGTCGCCACGGCGGTCGACCGAGCCAAACAAGTGACCATGACCGAGCTGAACACCATCATCGGGGTAAGTGTATGTGCAATGATATATCGTTTGGTTCGGCAAGGCGGACCTCTCAATATGCCTCCGTCGTCGTCGGGTATTATCGTCGGATCGCGGCATATTCGATATCGGATGCGTGGCGGCCCGATGATACGCGTGCGTTTCGCAGCGTGAAAAGCATCCGCGGCGAATGGAGAACCCCTGCGCCACGTTGGAAGCCGATGCACGTCCGAGGAATCCTGGCGAATCCCGAATCCTCCTCAATATTGCTCGAGCACTCAATTTCCTCCCTATTAAGCCACCGGCTTCTCTTCCTCCGCTCCGTTCCGGCTCTTTCTCCCCACGATCTCTTCTCCTCACCCTTCGCCGCATCCGCTCTCGCCGTCTACATAGCCGTTTCTCCCCTGAATCTTATCCGGAGTCTTCCCGCCTGGTTTCCCAGGCCGCCGGGGGTAGGTTATAGTGTTACGATGCACGAACGCCGAGTAATCAGCATTCCAGCCACCCCTACCTCTCGTTCCCGCGCGCGGAGAAACTTCCACGGATCTGCGACGTTGTCGGGGTACGTGCGGCAAATCCTTAGCAGGATTCCGAAATACCGCCCATCTTAGTCTACTCTCTCTTCTCTTATAAATCCCAACAGCTATGTCGGATGAATCGACGGACTCGCCGCTCGATTTCATTGCGGATAAATGTATGTCGGAGAATAAACATGATTCGTTTCGCGAATTATTTCGCATTATGGCTTCTTTTTTTTTTCTAAGCAGAAACTGCTCTTTTTCATCATCATCTTTTTTGTAATAAATATTGACACGAACCAAGGCGAATGGAATAATACCGTAATTCGCAAAGCTCGGATATTGCGGATGATATTGACTTACGTGCCTTGGTAATAGATACGCTTGCATAAATGCACCTTGCATCGATCGCGATATTCAAAGACGCTTACCAAGTGATACAACGATACCCGCGATATAAGAAGGTTGAGACGACCCCACCTCTAGATCTTTCGACTGTAGCTTTGCGTCTGGTTGAGTCAGCAAGTGGCGACGATGACGACGGTGAAAACTGCTGAGGAAACGAGCCTTGGCAGCAGGTGCCGCGAAAAGATTCGCATGAATATTATAAGACGCGGCTACTTTACTTCTGGAAATAAAAAAAATTGCAAGTCGGAAACACTTTAAAGCGCGAAGTTTAATCATTCTATCGTATTTTAATTAATTATAATAATTATCCTGATTATGAGTTTGGCAATGACGCGGACAAAAATGTTACGAGTCGCGTGTATTTCATTTTAACGCGACTTTTTAAATGTAATTTTCAGAGAAACTTTTTTTTTTGCGTATATTTTCTTGCTCGTTAGCAAGAGCTTGTAAAACGAAATTTGCACCTCGGAAACTTTCGTACAATTTGTTCGCGCCGCGAGTCAAAGCGCCACTCTCTCTCTCTCTCTTTCTCGTCACATTGCTACGGTATTACGAGGGAATCTCGGCGCGAAGATGAGGGTGGTTTCCTGGCACGGGTAAGAGGGTAACACTTCGCGTGGAAGTTGGATCCGTGAGGATAGCAGCTCCGGGTCAGGATTATTATCGCTATCAAGAATGGAAACTAGGAACGTTTCCTACGGGCTTCCGACTTCCTCGAATCTCTGGCAACGTTTCGCGGACGCGTGGACCGCAGGATCGCCCATCTCTCAAATAATTTTTCTCTCTCTATTCCCGTCCCTCTTGCTTTTCGACTCAATCTCCGTCTCTCAACACGGTGGCGCGGCACGCTTATACACGTTTCTCTGTTTGTATGTTTTGCGGGTGGCTCTTTGTTCAGACAGTCGACACTCGACGCGAGGTTATTATATCGTTAAGCCATTTAATTATCTCGGCAAACTACTCCCCGGAATATTCGCTCCGGCCTGCCTTAACGAGTGTACATGGTTACAGGCGGGTGTGGGTGTAGTATACCCTCCGACTCGCCGTCTGCGCACCCATCCTCTCCCTTCTCTTTCTCTCTCTCTCGCAGTTTCCTGCGCTTCGCCCATCGTGATCCACGAAGCGTTAAAACGGCGCTGAACAGGTCCACAATTTGTCTAGCGGCTTGGCCCAACTAACGAGGAAACTACGGGCGAGATACGCTTAAGATTTTCGCGAAACTTTTCGCCCGCGTTCGCTCGTCCAAGGGGAGAACGCGTAAGTCTTTCCACTTGTTTCGCAGCCTTTGATTTACCCGAGCGAGGTCGAACGCGGAGGTTACTCAAACTTACCGGAGTTTACTCGGCAATTTGTATGCTTTGCTAATGGAAAGTTGCCTCTCCGTTGACTGTAACGAAGTGTATTTTCGCGTAACGGCAGCAACGGCTGGCAGTGGCGAGAGAAGAGAGAAATTTGCAAAGAGAGAGAGAGAGGAGAAAACCAGCGGAGAATGCGCGATCGTGACCGGAATTAAGCAGAGCGATTTTTCCAGCGAATTATCGTTGCGTTGCTTTTTGTTCGCTCCCTCGCTGTTTCCCTGTCTCCTCTCGCGGGAACGAAATTGTTTGATCAATTATGACGGATGGAGAGAGAGAGAGAGAGAGGAGGCCCATCGTGCCGTGCTTTTAAATCCGCGCGCGCTCGCTCGCTCGCGCGATTTTATTTGCTTATGCATTTGTCCGCGCTGGAAACGTGAGTTCACGTTCGGCAAACAGACTCTCCTAACGAAGCTGCGGCAGCGTACACACTACACCATCGTGCTAAACCGATAGCCCGTAAAAATCATTTCCGAACTTCTATCGAGTCCCCGTCTCTCTTTCTCTCGCGTCTGCTTCCTCTCTCTCGTTTGCGGTGCGACTATATAGCGGCCCGCTATAGCCGCACCGATAATATATCGACGCGCTATTAAAGTTTTCCCCCCACATCCTATCCCGCCCCCTTCAATCTGCCGCGCTCTTAGCGATGATCGCCTCGATTCCCGCGCATCGCGTTTTTTCACGTCTCGCGGAATAATACCCGTTCGCTTTTATCTGGTAATTACAGCGGAAATACTCGAGAGGCACCGTTACGCGCTCTCGAGCCCGTTAATTGCCTCGCCACTTATTTAATCTAATCTTGGAAATTTATCGAGATCCGAGAGCGATATAAATTCGCGTCGTACGTGCAATCGCGTAATCTTTTTTTTTTCTCCCTTTCTTTTTTGATTACGCGACGCTCCGCGGCGCGTATCGACGAAACGAAGGGCGATAAGCGCGACCGACGATGATATCGCGATCGAACGAATCGTTGCGCAACCGATTGTCACTTATGGGGTGAAATTTTTCTTCGCGGTTGCAGCAACAGAGGCCGGACCTGCCGAGACTGCTGCAACAGATGCACGCCCAACAATTGCCGCCTGGCGCGGCGATGGGACCACATCCGGGTATACCCGGACTTCCTGGATTGGGTCCAGGTGCCGGTATACCGGTTCCCACCTCCGCGTCCGCGCTCTTAGGCTTGAGCCTTCCCCCGGGAGCGGCAGCCACTCCAGGAGGTACCGCCGCGCATCCACTGTCGATGCTGACGAAACCGGATCTTCATCGGGGTCAGCCCGACGATCTGAAGCCCAACGGAGGTGAGTCGTGTGTTTCTATATTTTTCATACAAATTTTTACGATATTTAAATTCGAGATATATGTGTCTACGAAAGCAGGTCGGTCCGATGCTTAAGACGTCGCGTTAAGAATTGCGAGAAAAGTATCTCGATCGTCAGAATCTCCTTCCTCTCTTAACGAACGTGAGATCGGCAGCTCGTTGATAGAGAAGATTGGTTTCAATGTCTCGGTCAACTCTCGCGCACTCAGCGACTCGCTCGTGATTTCGCGCGCCAAACGATCCGTCTCGTTCGTGGAACGAATTGCGTATCTTCCTCGTGTAACTTGGCTACCTGCTATGTTCAATCGCTTATCTTCACCTCTGTGAGAACAACTCGGTATTCTCTCACGAGACGATAATACGCGTTGTTGTATAGTCTCATCAATGATTCAGCGATATGCTATACAGCGACACGACGAACGTAAACACCGATTAATCCGTTTGAGAGCTGTCGCCGGTGTAACGGATGAAAACGTTCGTGAGAACGTTTTTGAGGGTCTACTTTGGCAGACTCGTCGAAAGTTTGTCGGAAATTAAGCGGAACGCTTCTCTCATCGCTCCGCTATTTAAAATACGGTTCGGAGCCGATGACGCAAACGAGACCGTGCTTAAATCCGAGAGAAGCTCCTGAAACTCTCGATCTTGACCTCGAGAATCTACTCTGAAGGTTTTAAGTCCTCTCCCTTTCCGTCTTTCTCGTTGGCACGTCTCACGCGAGTACAAGATGATCTTGGTTCGCGCTCTCGGGAGGGCCCCACGTAGCGCTGACGAAGATGCGCATGGTGCTCCAGACTCGTTTCTCCCTCTCTCTCGCTCCTCTTCGCCCTCATTCTCGCGCGCTTCTTAACTCCTCTCCGATGTCTCGCTCGGCGTGTCTCGTTCTAACCACAACCATCTCTCGAGAGAGCACTCAGAATCTCCTCTCGACACGAGTGTACTTCCACAACCCCTCTGCCTTCCCACCCTTACTCGCTGTCTCTATTCCCTGATGGCCTCCACTCTGACCCTGCCTATCCTCTCCCTCGACTCGCTCGCACCTTTACTATGTTACTCAACCTGGATGTATGCGGTATAGCGATGTATGTGGTTTTCCGACTATTGTCGTATGATCGATAAACATTTACCGATCTTTGGACATTATCGTTCGCGTTCTACAAATTTATCTACTTTTTCTTCCCGTCAAGCGCGAACGTTCTGTTTCGTTTTGAACATAGAAAAAGAGCGGAAAAAGCAAATCTGCCGCGCGGTCCACATTGTCGCGGATATACTCTTTTGAAACGAGATTTCGGCGCGAACCGAGAGAGACGTGTAACGGCCCAGTATTTCTGTCGTGGCAACTGAAACTTCTTCCCTTCTTTCCGGGACATTGCCCGGAGCGAATTGTTTCTACCAGTATAGCGCCCCGCCGTTATCGTTTTGCTCTCTTCCCTTCGCTGCTTTTTCGCGTCTCGTCCTAAAACGGCTCCGTCTTCGGACATATCCGCCAACGTAATATCTGCCAACGGCTGACTGTACACGAAACTGTGTTTTCCTTCTTTTTTATTCGCTCAGCGAGCTACATAGTTTTTTACGGCCGATTAGAAATTAATGTCGGCCATTGTTATAGCGTTTATAACGAACGGCGACGTTGATTCTCGCTCAATTTACCAAAGTTTATCTTCGTATCGTTGCTTCTAGAGTAAAAACGATTTTAATATAAAACGGGTGTTCGTCGGACTATATTTTTGACGCGATAATTTCTCGGCTAATGGGCCGAGTTGTATATATGTGTGTTCCGGGTACTTTTCGCTCCCCCCAAGATGGGAGACGAGTATACGTGGGTCCTTAAAACGCCTCTCGGAAATACTCGACGACCTCTTGGCGCTTTAGTAGAAAATTATGCGCGCTCTTCCGCGTCCGTTTACGAGCACGTGCGCGAGAAAGAGAAGAGTGGTCGGAAGGGATGAAAGAGGGGGATGACGGGGCATTAGCGAAACAACGATTCTTTCCGCTCGCCCTCGACGTGTGTATTCCCGGATACCGTCCGCGACGATACCCGACGAAAAATATCAGAAAATTCTCCGGCCCAATAAGACCTTCTTTCCCGAGAGACTATATCGTTCCCTTTATTTGACGGACTATAAAGGCTATAATAGTAAAACCGCACTCGTTCGACCGCGATGCGGATGGTCGATGTAGATAACATCGTCCAAATGGGAATTAAGGTTTCATCGAGCGACGAAAATGCGCGTTTTATTGTGCAAGTTATTTTTAAGGAGACGCCGCGCCTCGATAACGCGGATATCGAAACTCTCTGTCCCTCGCGCGTCAATAAAAATATTTTATTTCCGCGGTGGTTAATGTCGCGGGAGAAAAGAGAGGCAATTTATGGTGGTCCCGGTGCACCAGGAACATAAACGGCTCGTGTAATTCTTACTTCGCGGTGGGATGGGAGGAAAAAGATATCGTTAAGATATTTCCTACGAGACCGAAGTGTACCAACCGAGAAAGGAGGTGGAGAAGGAGAGGCTGGGGAAATCGAGCGAGGGCAAACTATGAACTCGGCTTCTCGAGGACAAAGCTTTTCCGTCTGGATTTTCTTCGCTCCCTTCCCTATTCCAGCCGGTCTTTCTTTTTCTCCGCGTTCTCTCGCTCCCTCTCTATCACTGTCTCGGAAAAATCCTCGAGGTAGTTTCGCGTATCTCCCGCTTCTTTTAGCTCCTTTTCGCGAAAAAGATTCCGTCGACTCTATTCGCTTCGACGTTGTAATAATAATGAAAAACATTCACGGCGCGTATTCCATATTCCGTTCGGGGATGTCGATTTTGAAGGATAGATATCCGAAACACGGGCGATTTCGTACAAATATAAAGCCGCGCGACGTTAGATGCGCACAATCTCTATAATCTTAACGATTTTGTTCCATACTGTGAAATCTCACGCGAAATTTTTACGTTGCAGGTCTCAATCCAGCCGAGGAGAGACATGTGAGTATCACATTTTCAATATTATTTAAGTAGTTTTTCATTTTATTTATCACGGATGAGAAAGAGACCGGCGTGTCTCGCTGGTACTGCCAAGTACGTAAAATTTCACCCCATAAAGCGAAATTACACTTAAGCGCGATGTATTATTATTATTGGATGATAGCGGAGAGATAGCGAACGAACGAGAGAGCGAAAGAGGAAATTAGCGCGATACACGATAGTATAGAGGAAAGGAAAGAGAGAAAGAGGGAAGCGGACGGAAGGCGGAGATGGCGACGAAGGATCGAGGAGGAAACGCGGAATGGACATAAAAGCCCGAACACAGGGCCATAAAAAGCTCGTCGTCAAAAGCACTCCCTTCCGCTTTCATCGACCACCCTCTCTCTCTCTTTTTTTCTCGCTCGCTCTTGACCTCTCTATTTCTCCGCGTTTCTCTCCTTCTTCGATAACATAAAACGTCCGCTAGTTGCGGCGCGCGCGTTTATTAAAAGCGTTCCGGAGAGGAAAAAAGCTTCGAGAGCGCTCGAGGGTACCGGGTCTCTCTCTCTCTCTCTCGCGAGTGCCCTGCGAGATCGTCCTACCGATCGATCGCTCGATCGCTCGGCAAAAGGCTCGCGCGAGAGAATTCCTATACCTTCTTCTTTTTCTTTTTCCCGAGATCGATGAATATCGATGAACGCAGTTAGCTCGGGCGTCGATTAAACGGTCCCGTGCGTCGTAACAGCGTTCCCGCATTAACCGATGCGATGCGGCGAAACGAATGGGCGATTAAGGTTTCACGCTCGTTGAAAAATTCGCGTACCACTTGGCGAATCGCGAAAAACACAGTTTGATATTTGATTTCGCGAATATTTTCGCACCCGAGCGGACGACGAATTTTTTTCTCCCTTTTGTCGGGGGTGGGGCGGACGGAGGGGGAGGTTATTGATCCTCTTTCGGCCGTGGTGAAATTTACTACGAGAGAGCGAGCGGCGGGCCGTCGAGTTGTAACTCGTTCGATTCGATGGCGATGGCGCCCGCGGCACGCTGCCAGCCCGATAATTAGCGTCCGTTTAATATGCACAATTATTACGGATTGATAATCGGGGCTGCGCGTCCATTACATTGGTATGGAGATAGATGGTAATAGGTCGCTATCGATATTAGCTCTCCTCTTTCACCTCATCCCTCGCGTCGCGGTGGTCCTGTCTCTCTTCCCTCTGTGAATTCTCTTCCGTTTATCTCCCCCTGTTCGTCGCTCCGACCGAGTACCTCTTCCACAGTTTCAAACTGCGACCCTGAGGGCTGTGAAATTGAAATATGAATGCTAATGGGGTTACTCGCCTCGGCGTCATATAATATTACTGATTGTCGGCCAGATATAAGCCGACTTTCAGTTTTATATTCTCTCTTCGCCCCTTACATCTCAATTCATCCCCAGAAACACCTCGGACGATCGATTTCTCCCAAGCTTCATTAATCTTCTTTTTTTTTTTTTTTAAATTTTACTTAACAATTTAAATTTGCGAAAGTTCGCTACCTCCTCGTCAAGACGTTTCACCAAGTACATGTATGCCGTATCGATCGACAGTCCGATCTCGGCGCGAAGACGCCTTCTTTTTAACGCGAAGGGAGCCATCGAACAAATTGACGCCGTACTTGCCGAGGAGCGAAGAATTACGTTCCCATCGATCCGCTTTTTCGCGTCACTTTGAATTTATATCTCCTCTCCGCGGAGCAGGCTGCACGATAAAACTTCTATTCCGCTCGGCGGCTCGTTACCCAACTGCATTTTCATGTCCTTCCGTGCTTCTCCTTCCCCGTCCTCTGCCGTGCAATCCGATCTCTCGTGATTGGATCGACGAGGAAGAACGGTGCTTGCGGAAAAGAGGCAAACCGTTGCCAGAGAGGGTGAAAAAAGAGATTGATTGAGAAGAAAGGGGTTATATACGACTCTGCGGAGAGAACGCGAGTCGTTATTATTCGCGTACTAGTAAAGTCCTCCTTTTTTTCTCGCGCTCCTCCGTTTTCAGGATTTTTCACGACTCGAGAGCTACGATGCTTATAGTCGTTGTCATCGTGCGATAAGAGATAAAGAATTCATAAAACTCGGTTGATCGGCTGTTTCTCGTTGTATTAAAAAAAAGGGATACAAACGGGGAGAAGGTTTCTTAATTTACTTCAACCGGCACGAGCTTAATTGAATTACCCGGGCATCGTTTCGCTATTAGCTTGCGATAAATTGTCGCGAAAGCTGGTAATCTCGACGGCGACGACGATACTTGTGGAGGAGATCGTAATGTCGTCGTAAAGCCAAAATTATATCGCATATTGTTAAGGTGCTAATTCCTTAATCGCGTATTAATCCTTTCTCTCTTCGTTATAATTCGTCGTCTCGCGCTTCTTTTGTCGCACGTGTATATCTTTATTTGCAAAGATATTAATCCGGTAAATTGTTTAAACATTCGCTTCCAAACTAAATATATGACGTCGCTGCGATTCGCCGAGCGTTAATTGCGATCAAATATCAATCTCCCCTTTTCGTAGCCCAGAGGACCCCTTGCGTAACCGCACCGACGGTTTCCTGATATCTGGAAAACAGGAACGATTTTAAACGTTTAATCGAAATCGATTCCGTTATTTACCGCGTATAAGCTCTCTTTCTCTCCCGCGCTGTCGCGATGTTGCGGTGATGGGTACATACACGGTCTCTGTTCCGGGAGTTGAAAATCGGCTACGAATCGAGACGCCGCGATATCGATTGTTCTCCTACCCCTCTCGTACGCCTCCTCGCTTTTTCCTTGGTTCAGCCATTTTCCGGCAGTTCGTTCTCCATTGGTCGCGTAGCTCGCGGTTGCGTTACTCTTTTTTCAACTTTTACGCGACCCTCTCTCTCTCCCGGTCTCTCTTCCATCCTATCAACCCCTACCCGTCTTTTTAATCCCATCACAGAGTCGAGCGCGCACCAACGAGGCTGTCGCCGGAGGTCGGTAAATTAAATCTCGAATAAAGTGCAAATAAACGAGCGAGGGAGAGAGAGAGAGAGAGGGTGGAAGAGAGGAGGCGTTGCCCGGGTGGTGGTCGAAAGTGTGGTACAAAAAAGCGACAGGGTGAGAGCGGAAAAAAAGCCAGCGGGGAGAAAAGCGGAAGGGAAGAGAGAGAGAAAGAACGAGCATGGATGCGGGACCGGGAGATAGAATGTAAAAGAGAAAGAGAGAGAGAGAGAGAGAGAGAGAGAGATAAAAGAGCGAACTGACGCGTGAGAGTGTAATTTATTTTAATTAGAGTGGCTGCATTATGTAAGCGGGTGAAGCGCCGATGAAAGGGTCGAGAGATCCTGACACCGAGCCCCCGACCAACATCCCCCTTCCACTAACACCCTGTCTCTGCTGTCTACCCCCGGGAACAGACTAATTCGTTCTTGCCCAGGGCTGTGACGATGATGGGAGGGCGTTTCCAAAAATTGGCGCGAACATTCGCGGCCACTTTTGCGTAATGGCAATCTGAAATATTTGTGCCGATGCGCGCTAAAAGAACCACGTGTTTTTAAGTATACATAATGCAGCTGCAAAATTCAAAGAAATTTTCAAACGCGTTTCAACGGAGAGAGAGAGAGAGAGAGAGAATCGCAAACTTGCGTCACTTATTATTTCGTTCCAAGCTTTTTTTCAACCACCTATTAGATTCGTACTTAATTATCAAATTATCTAGTTTCTTTTTTTCTTTTTCTTTTAAAGGATTCCGACAAAGCTCCGCTGTCGGAGAATCTTTAAGTGCTCTTTCATCTTGCAACACGGGGTGCGAAAGATAGCGGTTACGCTCTTGAATCTCTCACCCCCGTTTCTTGGCGGGCAAAGTAGAGAACTAGCCAACCCTCCTGCTTTACCGACGCCTCTGATCTCGTTAGGAACGCATTAATTAATTTACAAGATGGCGGCGGTGGCGACGACGGTACGAGAAGAGAGCAAGAGGCCCGTCTCGTTCCGCGGGTGCGACAGGGAAGCGGTGAACCAGGGGTTGGGGCGAGGGTTACTGCACGGCACGTTTTAATTACTAATTGAAACGTTCTGCTACCACCGCGCCGATCCCGTAATTCCGTTTCCACGTCGCTGTCACTTTCACCCTCTCCTTCACCCTTAACTCAAACGACCTTCCAGTCTCCCCCAACGATCTCCTCTCCGACTCTGTCTTAATATCCGCTCTTCTCTCGGGGATACTTAATATTTTTAAATACTTTGCATACTTTCCTCGGTTATACCCTTCTTCTCTTCTTTTTCCCCTTCAGCAGGGTGGATGCTCCCGACTCTCGACACCGGAATTTATGAGACGGTGAATCTGCGGCTTCCGTGAATTAATTAATTAAAAACATCATGGCGCCTTAATAACGCTTCGTCGCGTCCGCTTTTCGGCTTCGCTTTATTCTCCTTTTCGGCTCCCCTTTTTTTCAACTACCTTTCTCTTCCGCGACGTTATGAAAATTGGAAAGAAAAGATCGGGGAAGATTAAAAATCCGTCATGGAGCGGGACTTTATATCTCTTCCCGCTTTATTACCAATTTTTCAAAGTAAATTTCAAACCATATGTCTACAAGAGCAACGGAGCATCGCGTAATAAATACACCTTCTTTTAAGATGTCTAATTATTTCAAGTATATCAATTATTAACGAAAGCTGGTGCATGCGAAATGACAGATTGCGCTTGCGAAACCGACACTTTGTAACGCGTCCTAGTTTTACGGTCGATTGGCAACAAACGTAATCGTCGGGAAAAAGACAAAGATACACACACACACACACACATATATATATGCAAAAGTTGCGCGTGTCGCGATCGCAATCAGAGCGCAACGGATCGGCGGTTTTACAGTCATTGCGCGTCTGCAACGATCGATGACGATTCTGCGAAACGGAATAAAGTGTCTCCCCGTATTTATTACAGCAGCAGCGGGCATACGTAGGTGCGGTTGGGAGCAATTTTAACAACAGTACGCCTCAACGGCGAGAATCGCTTCGTCGCGGTCC